TATATATATATATATATATATTTGTTTTCTCTTGAGATATTTTTAAGATGGATTTGGTGTGTATATATATCTTACCCTTATTTTTTATGCTTGGACAATGCGATCGTGTTTGATAAGGAAACGAATATAAAAGTGAAATAATTTAATTGAAAGAAGAATGAAAGCAATCGATAAGGAAGGAGAATATGGATTAAAGTTGAAGAAAGTTATATTATGACATTTTCTATCATTAATTATTTTTTTTAAAGAAATTTTGTGTATAGGTTACCTGCAGATTACTATAATACTAATACATATGATAACGAAAAAGAAATTATCCTTTTAGGATTTCTTTTGGCTGGATAATAAAGAAAAACTCATTTAATTTGGAAATAGAATTAATTTTGAATCATTCAATGCTATGATATTCGAACTATTTGTTTTCATTAAAAACTTTAAAACAAATAATGATTAAAACAATCTATTAAAACCGTCAAGGATACTCTAGTAGTTTAAAGAACCATTTAAAGCAGAACTGAAAATGTGTCGAATTGAATTAAGTTAATTTATCTTAATTTGATAATATTTGGTTCAACTTTTAACTCGACTCAAATTTAACAAATCTTTTTTTTTAATTAAAACTCAATTTGGTTCAAATTTATTAGCTAAAATCACATGAATTAAGGCTTAATTTTCATTTTTGATCTTATACACTTCAAATTTTTAATTTAATAATAGATTTTAGATAAAATAATTGTTTTAGAAGACAAAATATAACTCATTCTATTAACTTAACTTTGCAAGATTACAAGGTAAGATTTTAATGAGACACAATTACAATTAAAGTCCATATAGATTAAAATTACTGCACCTTACATAAAATAATAGAACCTTCAATCTATAACCATGAAATTTTAGAGTATTTATTTCTTTTATTATTATTATTATTATTATTATTATTATTATTATTATTATTATTATTATTAACTTATAACTAAGTTTTGAAAGTTATTTCAAATTTTAATAAGGTAAAATTAAATAGAAAGTTAATTATATAAATTATATATTTATATGTTAAGTCAATTCATGAACTAAGCGAGTCAAACTATATGCAACCTAAGTTTGATTAATTTATTTACCAAGTTCAATCTTTAGTTCAAGTTCAACTTATTTGATTCATGAAGTAAATCTAATGAGTTAATTATCAAATCATGTTTTTATTTATTTTTGAGTTAATTTGATTCATTATCACTGTTAGGTTGGAGTAAATAGAAGCATGAGGACCTAAATTTAATATCTATTGTAACAATCTTTGTATTTTTCTTCATATTTACAAAATAACATCTATTAAAACTCATAAATGATATATATAAGGTTGTTTAAAAATTATAAAAATATTAGTAAAATTGTGACACCCTCTACCCCAACATACATATATAGTAGTTATAAAAATATAAGAATTTTCATCATTTTAATCTCGTTTCTTATAATTAAGTTCACATTTAAATTATTGAAAACTATTTAATAATAAGAGATATTATAATATTATTTTAAATATATCACACATAACTACACTAGAGACATTTAGTATAATATATTATCTTTTGTATATGTAATCTAGGTGAAAGAAACTTCCAATTTAGCTATAGGTTTTGATAAAATATTATTCAATTAAAAGTTGTTGAACAATGTAATAATTGATAAAAAAAATTATTCTTATGGTGTAAATTGACCTCTCCCCTATTTATAGAGAGGATTGTAATTTAAAGATGAATTTACAACATAAAAAAATACATAAAAATATCATCATCATAAAAATACAGTTAAAACTACTTTCATTAGACACTAAAAAATCAATGGGTCTAGATAGTCATTCTAATTTACTAGCATAAAATGATAATTTATATCTCGGTATATTTCATTTTAAAATAAACAAATGATAAAAATAATTGAAGTTAAATATGTGTGAATGATTAACAATTAGAGAGTAGAGAGTATGAGCCATGTTTAGTAGTTGTTTGGAAAGTGTGAGAAAATTGAAAAATAAATTTACAAAGAAATAGAGAAAAAAATTATGAAAACTAAATAAATAAAAGTATGAGAGAAAATAAGTATTTTGAAGTTAAAGAACAAAACCATTAACAAAATATGCTCACTTGGTGGCTCCACATTCATCCTTTCCTTAGGCTATAAATCAAGCTCTCCTTACTCATTTGTATTCACTTTGAGTTGTATATACAGAGCATTCTGCATTCTTGCAAATGCTCTCTCAACATAGGGTTACATAGAGCTTAGAGCTTTAGGAATTCCAAAAATTCCTACTCTAGGTTCATCCACCTTTGTGAGCAATCACTTGAGTCCTTGGCTTGAGTGCTTCCAACTCCAGAGGTTCAACACCTTCTCAAGGTGTTCTTCAATCAATCTTGACAAAGGAGGAGCTCAAAGAAAGATCAAGAGACTTGGAGCAATTCTAGTTGGTGACCTAGATCAAAATCTATTAGAAGTTGCCATCAAAAGACATATAATTTTTATTAATAGTATAGATATATAGAGAAATTATGTTGAATAAAAGATATATTAGGAGTTATTCTTAGATAGTAATATTTATTTTTAGAGATAAACACATGTAAATTTAATCTCGTTTCTTATAATTAAGTTCACATTTAAATTATTGAAAACTATTTAATAATAAGAGATATTATAATATTATTTTAAATATATCACACATAACTACACTAGAGACATTTAGTATAATATATTATCTTTTATAACTTATCTATTAAAATGAAATTTTAAAATTGAATATATTGTTGTGCATATAATTTTAATGCCCTAAATAATGAATAAAGGTTTTATTTTGACAAGAATGATTTAGTCCAATCTATAACTAATTAAGATATGGTGAAGGTGAAGCCTACAAAAGTTGTTAATGGTATTGAAGAAGAAAGTGATTCTTTTGAATTTAGTAGGATACTCGGTAGCATGCATAAAGATAGTTGTTCAATAATATCTTATCTTCAAATTTTGTTGTTATTATTATAATTTATATTAATAAAAAAATATATTTTGGAGAGCTTGATTTATAGCCTAAGGAAAGGATGAATGTGGAGCCACCAAGTGAGCATATTTTGTTAATGGTTTTGTTCTTTAACTTCAAAATACTTATTTTCTCTCATACTTTTATTTATTTAGTTTATAGTTGTTCAATAATATCTTATCTTCAAATTTTGTTGTTATTATTATAATTTATATTAATAAAAAAATATATTTTGATAAAAGATAACACAAAATCAATTTAATATGATCTATTTAAAGTTGTTCATTTATTTGATATTTATCAAACTTTCGAAGGAAATCAGTTCTTATATGTGACAAAAAGTATTCCTTAATAACAAATTAATTTTTTTAAAAAGTTTATTTTTTTATAAAATAAAATTTTTAACATGTATGTTTACCTTTTATACTTTCTATTTATGTATACATTGATTAAAAAAATCAAAATAGTAAAGATTGTAAGATTGTATATGTTGATTAAAAAATTCAAAATAGGAAATATTGGAAGATATATCTATTTATATATACATTGATTAGAATTTTAATTATAAAATTTGTTTTGAAATAAATTATCATCCAAAAAATTATATTAGATATAAAAGTATGTTTATATCATAAATAAATTAAACTTGATTTTTATACAATTTAACATATTCAGGACACATATTTAAAAAAAGTTAGGTTTAAACCTACTAAATTATAATATAATATAGTTTGACCTAATTTATTTTCATCCTTAATCGTAATCGTTGATATTAAAGTTTTTAAAAATATTTATAATATATATTTATAATTTTAAAAGTTATATGTAAAATTTTTAATAATATAAATAT